CCAAATGTCCATCTGTCTAAAAAAAAAAAACACTTACAGACCTTGGGAGACACATACGTGTCCATAAAAGTTGATTAACTTTTCATTTTACTGGACCCCATTTGTTGTCCACCATACATACATACATACATGCATATATATATATATATATATATATATATATATATGAATAAATACAAAACGAAAACTTATTTTAGTTGTCGTGTTTCATCCTCTCACAGACTTTATCAGAGCAAATGCGCCTTAATAAAGTCTGTGAAATGAAGAAAGGCGTTAGTTAAGGTAAGTTTTCTCTTTGTCTTTGTATTTATTGTCATTTTAGAGATATATTGTCATTATATCTGAATTTTTACACACACGGATATATATATATATATATATATATATATATATATATATATATATATATATATATATATATATATATAAATTATAAATAACTAGACTCGTTTCGAAAAAACCTCGAATTTTGATTTGCTAATAATCAATGCCTCGTTAGCCTTACTTTCCCTGACGATCCGTTTAGGTGAAACCTAGGTAGGTTTGTCTGGCTCACTAGGTGTATCTCTCTCTCTCTCTCTCTATATATATATATATATATATATATATATATATGTGTGTGTGTGTGTGTGTGTGTGTAGATAATTAAAAAAAAAACTTAAAAATATTTATTCGGTAATAAATATTTTCGATGAATATAGGTATATTTATCTCATTAGACCTATTTCATCAAAATAAATGTATTACTGAATATGGATTTTTAAGGGTTTTTTTTTTTTTCCTAATTATTATGATAATTTGCTCTGGAGCATACATTGAGCTCTCATGTTGGACTAAAATTGCACTTTGGAATAATCCCACAATTACTATTTGGTATTATACACACACACACACACACTCTCTCTCTCTCTCTCTCTCTCTCTCTCTCTCTCTCTTACACACACACACACACACACACACACACATATATATATATATATATATATATATATATATATATATATATATATATACGTATTCTTGATGTTGTTATTATTACGGTTCTGTCTTTGTTGGTTGCCCATTTCTGGTTTCTTGGTTTTATACACATGGAGTAATGGTAAATGTTTTGTTCAGATAAATGCCTGATTCTTTCTTTTTTTTTCCATCATTTGGTATTGGTATGTTTCGGTTTAGTACTTACTCTTCATCTGGTACTTAGTTTATTATGTGATATATGTAAAAAACGCGCAAACACATGCACACATATATATATATACATATATATATATATATATATATATATATATATATATATATATATATATATATATATATATATATATGCGTGTGTGTGTGTGTGTGTGTGTGTATATATATGTATATATATATTGAACAATAAAATATTAAAAATTAAAACCTTCAGACACACTCAGTTTTATATTAATATTCTTTCGTTTTATTATTATTTCATTTAGATTCCTCGACTAGTTTCGGCCAACATGGCCATCATCAGAAGAAAAATAATTTTCTAGTTGCTGGTAGCTGTGAACTACAGAAATGAATGTCTTGATTGATTGAACGTCCATTTTCCTAATAGGATTCGATAACTTTAACACGTTGTTTGATTGTTAATGTTTCCATTGTTGAAATTGGCAAAGACTTAAATTATTAAATCTAAAAGAAAAAAAAAAACATCAGACGCTTTCTAAACTTAATTCACACACACACACGCACACACATATACATATATATATATATATATATATATATATATATATATATATATATATATATATATATATATATATATATATACGTATGTACATCAGTTGTATTGACTGGCTAAGAGACAAAAGACAACGGCAAAAAGTGTCAACAAATTTTCCCGTTATGTCCCGAGATCCTTGCTGTTGCCCAAAATATGAACTTGTATACAGGTCACTAGCGGATGTCACACTGAAGTGACACATACGACACAAAGATAAATCTCAATGACGTTGAAGGATCATCATACGTCGAAATCGACAGGAGAATCCATCATATATATATAAATATATATATGTGAAAAGTGTATATAAAAATAAATATATGTATATATGTATAATTATTTATATATTATATACGCAGGTACTTATTAGAAAGCGCTCAATATCAGAGATAGAGCTAACATATTTGGTTGGATAGATGTGAGTTTTTGACCTGGGTTTCACACTTTAGCGATCGTCAGCTGACGATCGCTTAAAACCCAGGGTCACAAACTCATCTATCCAACTAAATATATATATATATATATATATATATATATATATATATATGAAAAGTGAATATAAATATAAATAAATATATATATGTATATATTATTTATATATTATATGGCGCGGTACTTTATTAGAAAGCGCTCAATATCAGAGATAGAGCTAACATATGGACAAGGTCCGACAATTTATTTATTAAAGACATTTTATGTTTAACGTTGTTGTTTATAGATACAAGTATTTAAACAAATGCTCTGTTTTTGATAAAAAATAAATAACATGTCAAAGAATGTCCGAATATTTTCTATAGAAAATATCCTATCAAAGGCTTTGTAAATATTTTTTAATACTATTTATCATAAACAGAAATTTGCTTAAATACTTGTATCTATAAATAACAACGTTAAACATAAATTGTATAAATATATATATATATATATATATATATATATATATATATATATATATATATATATATATATAGAGAGAGAGAGAGAGAGAGAGAGAGAGATAATTATGTATTATTTTAATACCTATATTCGGACGGTGTGAAAACAAATCGGACAATACAATTTGTAAATTAAAATATATTTGAACAAACCGATACCAGGGAACTCAGTAAAAAAAACACTAAGGAGAACAAAATCTAAAAAAACCTAGTGAGCCAAAACCTCACTACCACGGTTTCACCCAGAGGATCTTCAGGGTACTCCTATATATTTCCATATGGACATGTTAATGATTTATTTGATTGTTTCAAAGATAGGGTGTTATCATTAACTGAGACCCTAAATTGGATGTTAAATGTTTAACTATAATAAAAGCCATTAAGAGATCAGGTTTACTTTAGGGAAATGTCGATGAGCACCACCTTTATGTAAAATATAATGGAAATTCTCTGTGAACTTTAATGTGCATTCAAAATGGCTCATTTTCCTTTCAAAAAAAAATCAGGCAGTGACTTTTTTTCAACGAGTTCTTTTATACGCTATCCATTTAAAACCGTTTTATGTTACTTCCTTTATTGCTTTTAAGTATAATGTATTTTAAACAAAATTGATTCTTTGATAATAGTCCTTAATAGAATAAAGCAATAGTAACAGAGTTTATTACGATTCATCAGCGAAACAAAGATTTTATGAGCACACATATACAGTTATATATACTCAATGAATTCAGACGAATAATACTTACATCAAAGGAATATATATATATAGTATTTACATTAGTCGGACTATTGTCCTCATCTTTGTCGCCACATTTGTCACAACGTTTCGGCCGTTGTACACTCCGGCCTTCTTCAGGTGCTTGGAATTTCGAACTGAACCCTTTATTTCGATCACTGGGATAGACTGTTCTAGTTCAGCCATGTTTGATGGATGTCAGTTATCAGTTATCTCCTGCTAATTTTCCCTCTGAAAGTTCTCGACTGCCTTAACCAGGTATTGAACTCACCTTATTTGGGTCTGTCACTGGATCTAACCATCGCCTTTATCCACTGTGGCATGTGTCTTTATAGCTATAGACGGTGTGAACATAGAAATCATCTGTGGATGGTGAACGTCAGTTTCATACTTTAGTACGATCTTCAGATCAAGCACTTGGTCTGAAGATCGCATTGAAGCTGCCAGTCAACATGCACAGTCGATTCCAATGTTCACCTTACAACTCTCTATCTATCTATCTATCTATCTATCTATATATATATATATATATATATATATATATATATATATATATAACGTCATCCACAGACAGACTGTTTCGCAGCTCATCAGTGTGGCTAGACATCGAAACTAGGATCGAAACCCGACTGAATTGGTGTCAGTCGGAGATTCTAACCATTAAGCCGTCGGTGAAAGTGGATTTTTAGCGTATTTATTTTTAGAAACACGCCCAGTGACCGACAGTGACTCAATTCGCATCTGCAAAGAGTCTCGCTATATAGCTATAATAGTCACTGTTTACCAACCCACACCTCGTCCCCAGAGAGCTCAAGTGAAATTGATATTTCAGAAGCCAATATATATATATAAAGCAATATACATGATATCTTCCTGCGAGTTGTGCAATTAATGTAAGATATTATGTATATGGCTTAATATATATATATATATATATATATATATATATATATATATATAGAGAGAGAGAGAGAGAGAGAGAGCGCGCTGTTTTTTCCTTACACTATATGTGTATTTGTATACGATCACTCGCTCGTATACTTACGTATATTTACCCATTTGGTTATATATATATATATATATATATATATATATATATATATTGAACAATAAAAATATTAAAAAATTAAAATATTCAGATACACTGGGTTGTATATTAAAATTTCTTTGTTTTTATTATTATTTCGTTTAGATTCCTCGACTAGTTTCGGCCAACATGGCCATCATCAGGAGGAAAGTAATTTTCTGCTTGCTGGTAGAAATGAATGTCTTGATTGAGAAAATGAACTTTTGTCTTTCATTTTTTAATATATATATATAGTTTTCATTTGTTTTTTTATTTTCATATATATATATATATACATATATATATATATATATATATATAACAAATGTAAACTACTAAAGAAATTTGAACGTCCATTTTCCTAATAGGATTCGATAACTTTAACACGTTGTTTGATTGTTAATATTGCCATGGTTGAAATTGGCAAAGACTTAAATTGTTAAATCTAAAAGAAAAAAAACATCAGACGCTTAAACTTAATTCACATACATTCACACACACACACACACACACATATATATATATATATATATATAGAGAGAGAGAGAGAGAGAGATAGATAGATAGATAGATAGATAGATAGATAGATAGATATTCCTCTTTGGAGTCTATGATTAGTGTATTCAAATTAAATATAAATGAACTCAATAGATTTATCTTACCCTAATAAAAATGGTATCTGCGGCTTTTGAAGCTGGACTCATAATCTTTTGAAGTTGTATTTATCCATTAACTCTTGTTGAAGTAATTTTTACTCATTAAAAACTAATTTTTACCCAATAGAAATCTTTAGTTCCACTGTACGTCTAGCTTTACTGAATGGGGTGGTTTTAAAGGCGTATATGGAGGGAACGGGGTTGCATATTATAGGAATCATTTTGTCTTTTTATTAGTCGACTTCACAATCTGCGAAACGCTTAGTATGGATAAATTAACATTTTATATATTAGTATGCTGCTGATAGATAGATAGATAGATAGATAGATAGATAGATAGATAGATATGAACAGGCTTAGATAGATAGATAGATAGATAGATAGATAGATAGATAGATAGATATGAACAGGCTTAGATAGATAGATAGATAGATAGATAGATAGATAGATAGATAGATATGAACAGCCTTAGATAGATAGATAGATAGATAGATAGATAGATAGATAGATAGATTAATTATTGACATAGGATTCAATACCGCCTGGTAACTTTCATTTTCATGCTTCAATGCAGATATCAGACTAAGCCTGTAATTATAAATGCAATATTTCCAATCTTGAGCCCTATTTTTCCAATAAATATTGGGATTTTCAAAAATTTCGTGGGCAGATCAAAGTTTAACCATGGCCGATTTCTGAAGGACGTGATCTCTTGATGTGATTATTTTGGGTAGGCGATCTCAGCGTATAGGTAAACTTTAATAGATAACACCAAAATACTATATAGCACTCAAAGAAATGCCTTCAAATTCTGAAAGCTGTTTTAAAAGAAGTGAAATAGCCAATATTGAATAATAACGATTGGGTTTATCCTTGTAAAAGATGAAAATAAGATATTTGGACAATTTTAGAAAATGGTTCCTCCGAGTTTTCTTAAATGATGGAAGAAGACCTGTGCCAATTCTATCTTGTGTACAGTACGAGCATTCGAAGAAATGCCATATATTCTTACAAGATTTTCAGTCCTCGGGTATCTTGTAACACCCCCGACCTTGCACCATTGTTAGATGGTGACGTATGTTTATTTTTTTTTTTTTTTTTGTCTTACAGTAAGGTTCATTCTGTAAACGGATACTCAATGGAGTAACTTACGTTAGGAGGTAGTTTACATGGATAGGAGGGGAAGATAACGGTTAACAGGTTAAGATTGTAATGACTGTGGAAACATACTCTTGAGAGTCTGTTCCACAGGGCAGTGATTCGCAGGAAGAAGCGGTTTGAGTTGGTCTTCTCCCCGATGGAATACAAAGAGAATATGGGTGGTCTGCTACAATGTCACATGGCGGTTCCTTGCCATGAAGGTTAGACCTGACAAAACCAAGGAATATACTTCATCCGAGCTCATTTCGAAAAAGTAACGATAAAGCAGCGAGAGGCTTGCAACAACCAGTCCGTGAGAGAGAGAGAGAGAGGTCGTACTGTGGAAAATAATTTGTCACCCACAAGGACTCGGAGACGCTTTTGGACTCTGTTATGGCTGAAGAGTGCGACTAGGCAGCTTCCGCTCAATATAACAACAGTGATCCATTTTTGGCCTGATCTGGATCTTGTTATGGTAGAGCGTAGCACGTTTTTAGTCTTATCAAACTTACAAAAGAAGCACTTTTAAAAAAGAAAGTAATTTACAGTTAACCGTGTATTATTTGAATTTTGGGATGAAATATCTTCAGGGTATTTAATGATTGGAGAATATTCATCATAGAAAATTTTAAAGCAACAATAAAATAAAAAAACAAAAAGAAAAAACGAATAAGGAAAAAGATTCTGAATATGATATGACGAAACAATTAACTATTTTTTTAAAAATTAGTTCCGTGTTTTTCAATCTATAATATTGATTGTTCCAATAATCCTTCTTCGTAACATCTAGGATCATTTAAAAATTAATTTCTGTTTTATATTTGGAAACTCATATTATTCTCCGTTAATATTTTTTTCGGCAGTATCTATCTGTGAGTTCAAATTTGAAATAGATAAAATTATTAATATTCTTTTTTGTTAAATGTATTTCTATCTGAATTTTACAGATATATACGAATATTTGATATATTTTGGTTAAGCTTTGAACCATTTTATCTTAGAAATGATTAAAGATATCTTACTGGAATTCCCCGAGTTTTTTATATCACTATTGAACATTACTTTGAGTAATAAGAATATATATGATTACTCTCCAAGCTTAACAGAAGAAATGTGATGAAATCGATCCTAATCGAAAATGACATGTTCCATCATTAATTAATCATAGTAAAGGATCCGAAGCTCATGAAAGATTGAAATAAAATTCAAGTATATATATATATATATATATATATATATATATATATTATACAGGATCATTTTCCAACTTTTTCAAGATGATCTTCACCCTCTCTAACTTTCAAATTTCTTTCCTGAAGTAACAATGTGCTTCACAGGTTTCATTTTCATGTCTTTTTTCACTGCTCTTTGGGCTGTCATAGCTGAAACTCTTCTTTCACGTGCCAAAAGCCATGTGGATTAAGTTGGATCTTTTCTAATTGATCTAGTTGAAATGATAATCCTTCTTGCTGTTGTGACCTCCTGATCTAGTTTTTCTCTCTCTACTGTTCCCTCTTTTTGAAACTTAGTCACCGTTATTTGATGGTCCTTGAATGGACTTTGAAGATGGAAGGAAGTGTATGAATGTTGGCACAATGGGACTAACACAAGACGGTTTTAATCTGTTCTATTTCTAGGTGAATAATTCAAAGTGTTTTTTTTTTTTCTGTAAATCTTACGATAAATGGTATCAAGATAGCTAAACGTTTTATCTGAAAACCTGGAAAAAAGAAACTCAATTAGTTTAGTGTTTTTTAGATATTAAAGATTTTATGGGATGGACAATTATGCTGTATCAATATATATATATATATATATATATATATATATATATATATATTTTTTAAGACATTTTTATGTTTAACATTCTTTTCATAGATACAAATATTTAAGTAAATGATCTGTTCATAATAAACAGTATTAAATAACATTTGCCGACCAGAATGTCCGAGAAATTTTCACAGAAAATATTCATCCTTCCACAGGATTCGAAATATATATATATATATATATATATAAATATATATATATATATATATATATATATATATATATATATATATATATAGTTGACTTTATTTATTTGGGGCTTTAACTCTTTTTAGTTTTTGTTTGTTATTGTTTTTATGTAATATATATGTATTTTCAACTCATATCCGTCTAATCTGTATGTGGGCATGAGTGTTCCTCTAAGTGCTGATGTAATAAGCTATGCTCAACCAATATATATATATATGTGTGTGTATATATATAAATTCTTCTAATATGGAATATTTCTTAAGCGTACTTTTTGATGGCTATATACAAACGAGTAAAATATGTGTTCATGCCTGGCTGTGAGTTTGTTTCGATGTGTATGTGTGCATGCGTTTTCTTTCCCTGTATCTTTATTTCTTTAATATTTCCCTTCGTTTTCTAATTTTAATGGCAGAAAATATTAATTTCTCGCTACCAATTAAAATCCGCTCTGAGACTTGATTTAAAAAGTCAATTTTCGTATTTTGGAGTCGGACATTTTTTTTTCTCTCTTTTTGATTATTTTCCATTATCTGAAACTTTTTGTTACCCGTATCTCTAAGTCATCCAAAAGTTACGTGTTCTGGTTTAGAGACGTCACAGCTCGTCTTGAGAGAGATAAGCCTTTAGTAAATGTCAATTCTGTTTATCTCTGTCTGTCATATTTCCTACCGTCTATATGATTTCCTGAGAATAATTTCCGAATTGTAGTCTAGAGCAATTAAATCATTTTCAAAATGACTTTAAATATAATGAAGGCTTCTTTTTCGATCTTATATCTTACACACACACAAATAGATAGATAGATAGATAGATAGGAAGATAGATAAAGAGAGAGAGATAATATAATATAATATATAATAAGCACCTCCAAAAAGAGTCTGCCTAAATTTGAACACTAGTAAAAAAAGAGTGCTTAATGCCACAAGAAATGGCAGAGATTTAATTAATCTTCAGAGAGATAAGCCGTTAGTAAATGTTAATTCTGTTTCTCTCTCTCTCTCTCTCTCTCTCTCTCTCTCTCTCTCATATTTCTTACCGTCTAGTTACGCATTATGATTTCCTAAGAATAATTTCGGAATTGTAGTCTAGAGCAATTAAATCATTTTCAAAATCTTATATTTTACATACACACACACACACACACACACACACACACACACACAAACACGCACATAGATAGATAGATAGATAGATAGATAGATAGATAGAATAATATATATATATATGTATATATATAATGACTATGCCTAAAATTGCACACTAACAAAAAAGAGTGCTCAATACCATAAAAAATGGCAAAGCTTTAATAGTCTATATATATATATATATATATATATATATACAGTAATCCACAGACAAATTTTTCGCGGTATCACAGCTCTTTAGTGTGGCTAGAAGCCCGTCTGCTTCAAGCATGGATCGAAATTCGACCGAGTTGGCACCAGCAGGGATCCTTACTCCTAGGCTATAGTCACACGGCAAAGAGAAAGGGAAATTTTAACGTTTTCTATACGAAATATGCCAGAAGCCAGGAGAGCTCAATTCATAGTTGAAGAGCAATGCGTTAATAGCAGTAGGAACCACTGTTTTTAAAATTACCCTTTTCTCCAGAGTGCTCAGTTGGATTTCCCGAGAGCATATATATACTAATTGTTAACACAATACAAAGTCCCAAAGACACACAATGCTGCGTGGTACTAATGATCTAAAGACGTAGAGAAAGGAAATAAGAATGTATATATTGAGGACAACAGTTAACCCGAAAGTTGAAGAATGGTAACTCATCTGAACATTTGCCATGGAAATAGCGAGAGAGTAACAATAGTCTTGCGAGGTTGGGCCTGTGATTCGACTCCGTGGAAGGAGATTATAGTGACCTATCAATAAAGGTCTGAACTGGTGGAACTAAAGAATGGCATCTCATCTGAACATTTGCCATAGAAATCGCGACTGTGTAGCGAGTAAGTTTTCGACTGTAGGAAACATGTTGTAAAGTAGAGCATATTTCATCAACTGCAAGGCTTCCGAGAACACTTTTAAATTCTATCATGCTTGGAATGTGAGGACTGGGCTATTCCAGCCTGGACATGGCGGCAATACTCCATTTTTGGTCTGATCTGGACCTTTGAAAATTTAGAGCGTAGCAGAAATCAGGTACAAGGAACGGTACAAGAAACCGAACATTTTTCCAGCATCTTTAGCGATATATATATATATATATATATATATATATAGAGAGAGAGAGAGAGAGAGAGAGATAGATAGATAGATAGATAGATAGATAGATAGATAGATAGATATAATGAAAAAATGATCGGTTATCATAGATAGATAGATAGATAGATAGATAGATAGATAGATAGATAGATAGATAGATGTGATTAAATAAGGAACATGTAAAATCTTTATAAGTATAATAATTTGCGATTCAGGTCACTTCAACAGGAGCTTGGGGAGGGAAACACTGAGGAGTTGTTTCGATTTTGAATTTATTTGTTATTTGCTTTCATTTGTTGTAATGTCTTGGGTATGAAACTAAACTACATCCGGAAGTAAGGCCTCGGATTGGAAGATTTTAGGTTTTGAAGAGCGCAGAACCACCTCTAAATTGCTGTTGATCCCAGGTCAACCCTGATCCGCAGTGGTAGCATCTGCTAGGGTTCTAGCTATGGGCAAATGATTAACCCCCAAAATGGGGTCAAACACTATGAAAGCATAAAAATACATTTTTATAATGAATATACCAGCAATGCATTTTTATAGTTAAAAAAATTACCAGCAATACATTTTTGAAAAAAAATAAATAAATTTACCTGCAATACATTTCTGTAAAAAAAATAAATAAAATTTAACTGCAATACATTTTTGGACTAGCGGGCCTCGGTAACGAAGATGAAACTAACTAGATTCTGTGCTGCTACTTCTAATTCTGGTTGTGATACTCATCGAAGTATACATAACCCACCATATATATATATATATATATATATATATATATATATATATATATATATATATATATATATTATATTGAACAATAAAAAATATTCAAAAATTAAAATCTTCAGACACACCGGGCTGTATATTAGTATTCTTTCGTTTTTATTATTATTTCATTTAAATTCCTAAACTAGTTTCGGCCAACATCATCAGGAGAAAAAAAATTCCTGCTTGCTGGTAGCAGGGAACTACAGAAATGAATGTCTTGATGGAGAAAATGACCTTTTGTCTCTAGTTTTCATTTGTCTTTTTAATTTTTAACGCGATTTTTGGTCAGTCTTTGTGTTGGTCAAACAGTCTCTATTAAGTTGTTATTTGAGATAAGAGCTGGATGGATTCATGCTGCTCGGAATTTCCTTAGTCATTTTGACAGTTCTTTTGGTTGCTGGAAAGGGGACGTGTCTCTCTTAAGTGTGTGCGTGTTATTTGGTTCTTAGGGAGTAAGTGAGTATGATGTGTGTATATATATATAAAATATGCATGCGTGTGGTGTGGAGAATGGCTTCGACCGAATGGTTAACAATCTGTTCTTGAAAGTCATTTTTACTTTATTAAAACATAATCGATTTTAATGTTCTCATTTTGGCCTTTAGAAAAAAAACCATTACTAGATTATTACGACTGTCTTGTTAGTTCGATTGTAAATGGTAGCCCTATTCCTATGACCTAATGTCATATAAGCACCTGTCTGTGCGTAATGCTTGTGTAACTGACAATACTATATATATATATATATACACAATATTGTAAGTTAGACAGACATATATATATATATATATATATATATATATATATAGAGAGAGAGAGAGAGAGAGAGAGAGAGAGAAACATATATATAACTTTAAACGTTATTATAGTGGATACACAAATTTGAGTAGACGTTCCTTTTATTTTAAACAGTATTAGTAACGATTCATTCAACTTGTCACACGATGTCTTGCCTCTCATGTTTTTCTAAAGTATATGCATTTCATGGATGTGCGAAAAAAGCGAGGAATAGGAAATCGGTGAGCCGAGTTCAGATTCCACCATGAACAGTACCTGAAACTACGATTGCTTTCGACATTAGATATTATGTATATTCGTTAATATATATTTATATATATATGTGTGTATATGTGTGTGTGTGTGTGTGTGAATTATGCATGCGTGTGGTGAGGAGAATGCCTTCGACTGGATGGTTAATAATCTGTTCTTGAAAATCATTTTTACTTTATTAGAGCGTAATCGGTTTTAATGTTCGCAATTTGGCCCTTAT